CCTCAGCACTCGCTGCCAGTGCGCCGATTCTGACACACCTACTGGATAGGACAGGGTAGACCTGTCCCTGTGGTTTTCAAGGCTGTCAGTCTTTACGGGAGCAGACAGCCTCGCTGACCAGTGTCCAGCCAAGCTCGACTCTTGACGATGTTGGCGTTCAGCGCCTTCAGCTGGGTTTGACCCACAGTGACCCTGTGCGCAGAAGGAAACACTGCGTGCCCAGCACTGTCCTCACAGCTGCTGTCGTGCCCAAGTCCACTGTTGAAGCAGCTCATGAAGGCCTTCCTCTTTCTCATTGACCTTCTGTTCTACCGAGCACGACGCCCTTCTCCGGGGACCGGTCTCTCTCGAAAACACGTCCCACGTGTGTGAGGCCGGGGCTCGCCATCCTGGCTTCTCAGGAGTATTCTGGCTGTGCTGTGTCGTCATTCTTCTGGCCATCCAGAACTGATGGACGTAGTTCCCCACAGTGGAGTCCTAGCAGAATTCGTGATTATCCATCTCCAGGCATACAACACAATCTCACTGCCCTACATAAGATGTCTCGCTTCTTCAATAAAATTACAAGGTGCAAGAAACATTCCGGAAGTAACTTTTCTCCCCTCAGCTGCAGCATCTCTCTTACAATCCCTTAAACCATGTCAGGTAACAATAATGCAAGTGACCATCGAAGCTGCACTTCCCATGCCCCCTTGTGCTCCCGCTCCCGAGGCCCGTGCTTCCAGCGAGGTCAGAACCGCTGCGAGGAATCCCAGATCTGACCGCAGCAAGAATGGCCGGAGGGTGGTGTCTGAGCTCCTCGAGCTTCCGAGGGGGAGGAAAATCAGACTCCACATCAGTAGGGGCCACAGCACATTGTGATGAGGCTGAGGTCAGACATGCTGCACCTTCCAACCTTTCTACCCATTCTGACATCAACTGCCCCTCCCACGGCACTCGCTGATCCATGGCAGTGCCACACGGAGCTCACAGACATCACTCACAGCTACGAGAGTCACAAAGTATGCTTATAAATGGACTCATGGGATTATCAGATACAGAATTTATAGTAACTGAAAACATCTCTAGTGGAAAAAGGAAACATTGTGTCTTATTGGATAGGTAATGTGAACACAGAGAGGAAAATTATGGAAAAGAATCTCATAGAAATGTGAAAAATGAAACCAGTAAAAGAGATTAAGAACATCTTAGATGGATGTATTAGCAGATTTAACAAATCTGAGAAAGGGATTAATAGATTTTATGATAGGCAAATAAAAGTTACCCAAATTGAAATAAAATAGAGAAAATGTGTTAAATATAAAACAAACAACAAGCAAAAGATACCAGAACATTTAAGAGAGAAAAATTAGGGCAAAAGAAATATGTAAAGAAATAATTGTTCCCTCACTGAATCACAGCCCTGCAGGGGACGACACTGGAGACACCATGTAGGAATTGCACACGATCTGACCCCACTACACCGAGGCAAAACACTAAGGGCATGCAACAGAACAGCAAGGGGAGCAGAGCAAGGAAGTGCCCAGGGAATACCAGAAATAGACTTGGGCCAGCACGTGGCACCCCATCAGACTGGACCACAAAACACTTCTAAAGGTCAACAAACAGACCTTGAACTATTTACAAGCATTTCTTTGTTTATTGTTGTTGTTTTGTTTTCTTTTGTTGCTTTGTTTTGCTCTGTCTTGTTTTTGTACATATTATCACTGCAGGTCTATCTAGATAAGATAGGCAGGATAAACAATCTGGAGGAGAAAACAGCAGGACCAAAGGTTCTGGGAGGACATGGGAGAGGGGATGTGGAGGAAAGGACGTGGTGTTAACAAACCCAGAGACAAGGGAACTAGTGATCCAAGAGGCCTGGTAGGGATTGATCAAGGGCAATGTA